ACAGAAAGGACTTCGCGGACCTGGCGCCCTTCATCACCGAGGGCCTGGAGGTGCACTTCGTGGAGCACTACCGCGACATCTTCCGCATCGCCTTCCCGCGGCGCCAGCAGCGCGAGGCTCTGGCCGTGGAGCGGTGACGGGGACGGACTGACTAATCATGGGGTGGCGCGGCCACCAGCACAGCTGCAGAATCATGAGTAAAGAATCATTTCCAGAGCCCAGCCTGCTCCCTGCGCCGCCAACACACCACGCGCACACAGGGCTGCGCCGCAGCAACGTTTATTGGGGGGTGGGTGGGGGGCTCAGTCCTTCTTGGCCGCCGCCTTCCTCATGGCAGCCAGCACGTTGCTCAGCTCCTCCCGCTTCCTCTTGGCGCGGATGTGCGTGCCCACCTGCGGGGAGAGGGCGGTCGGTCACCCCGGCCCCGGCCGCCCTGCCCTGCCCGCCGCCCTCCCCCGGCCGGCCCGGCCCGCTCACCCTCTTCTTGATGAACTTGAGCGCGCGCTTGTCCTTGGACACCTTGAGCAGCTCCATGGCGCGCCGCTCGTAGGGCGCGAAGCCGCACACCTCCCGGATCATGTCCCGCACGAACTTGGTGTGCTTGGTCAGGCGCTGCGGGCGGCGGGCGGGGCCGGGCTTAGCGACCGACCGGCCCGCAGCCTCTCCCCGACCGCACACCTCTCCCGAGCTAACCCGCGCCTCCCCTCTCCCCGGCCGGCCCTCTCCCCTCTCCCGCCCGCGCTCACCCCGCGCCTCCCCTCTCCCCTCTCCCGCCCGCGCTCACCCCGCGCCTCCCCTCTCCCCTCTCCCGCCCGCGCTCACCCCGCGCCTCCTCTCTCCCCTCTCCCCTCTCCCGCCCGCGCTCACCCCGCGCCGCCGGCTGTGTCGCGGCTTGCTGACGTTCTTGGTCACCTTGTGGCCCTTGTTGAGGCCCACGGCCATGGGGTAGCGCAGGGCCATGGCTGCTGCGGGCGAGACAGCGCCTGAGACGACCGCACCCCGCCGCCGCGCCCGGAGCCCCGGTGTGCGGACGCGGAGCCCCGGTGGCGGACCCCGAGCCCCGGTGGCGGACCTCGGACCCCGGTGGCGGACCCCGAGCCCCGATGTCGGCCGATGCCGCCCTGGCGAGCCCCACTCACCTGCTGCTCTCCGATGGCGGCCGCGACAGGAAGGACGGCGCCGCGCGGACCGCTGGGATATCCGCCGCTCGCTGGCCCGTGAGCCCAGAGAGGCCGGCGCGCCGCGGTCGCCCTCTGGTGGCCGGAGGCTGCGAGGCTCTCGCGAGCATGCGCAGTCCGCTGGGGGAGCCCCATCTTCGGCCGGGGCGGTCCAGCTGGGTGCCCGGGCGTGGCTGTGGCCTTGGGTCCTCGCTTAGGTTAGGAATCCCAAGTCCCACTATTGCTGGCTGTTGAAGCGAGTTAACTCCCTGACAGTAAAAATGCTTTTTAAAGTTTTTATTATCGGTCTCGAGAGACGTCACAGAGGTTTAAGATCACTTTATTTACTTCCAAAGGACCTGGGTCCAATTCTAAGTAACCGCAATGGGGCTCTAAAACATCTATAACTCCAGTTCCACGACATCTGATGCCCTCTTTTGCCGTCCGTGGGCAGGATGTACGCACGGGATGCACAGACACACCTGCAGACGGAACATATAAAATAAGACGAGTAAACATAACTTTCAAAAATAAAAATAAATAAAGCTGGGCAGTGGTGGCGCACGCCTTTAATCCCAGCACTCGGGAGGCAGAGGCAGGCGGGTCTCTGAGTTCCAGGCCAGCCCGGGCTACCGAGTGAGCTCCAGGAAAGGCGCAAAGCTACATTGAGAAACCCTGTCTCGAAAAAAACAAAAAACAAAAACAAAACAAAAAACACAGAGAAACCCTGTCTCAAAAAAAGAAATAAAATAAAAACATTTGATTTTCCTGTTTTGTCTGCTTGTGTACAACGTGGGTGCAGGTCCTCTGTTATACGGTAGCCAGTGCTCAGCCAGCTCCCAGAACTGCTCTCATTTTTAAAAACATTTATTTAGGGTTTGGGAGAAGCCTGATCCACCGCACTTTTACCGTTCAGACGTCAGTTACCAGCCTCTGTTCACCATCGTCCACACAGGCTCCGGAATCGAACCCAGGTCCAACAGAATTTGTCAGACTAGACCCTCCGCACCGAGGTCTGGGGTTCATCGAAGGAGTTTAGCGTCCCCTGCTGGCCCCGGGCTGCAACCTCGGGGTAAGGAGGGATGCAAACGATCTAGAATCCTGGGCTGTGTCCTCGAGAGCCCAGGCTGTCTCAAACCCTGACCAAGTGCCGATCAAGTGCTCCTCTCTTGGCTCAACCTCCCACACTCCAGGCTCTGCCAGCCTGAGGAATTTGTAAGAGTCAAACTCTGATTACGAAAAGAGCCTGCTCCAGTCCTGCTCGTCCACCGTGCACGGCTGAGTGGCTCCTGGCAGGTGTCACAGGTACCGGTGACCACAGCTGGGAGTCGAGGTAGTGGGCAAGCTCTCGGGTGCAAGGAATTAACTTCCACCACCGGAAAGCCCTGCTGGGCACCAGGCTGCACTAACTCTGGAGCTTGAAGAGGACAATGCAGGCCTCAGGCCGAAGTGGGAGGAGCCAACACGGAGGGGCGGGGCCTGGGTGTAGTATGTCCCCAAGGTGGAGCCAAGGTGGGAAGGTGTGGTCGTCAGCTGGGTACTAGGAGGGTTGTACCCGCTACCCTAAGGTGGCTGAGCCCGGCATCGCAGCTCAGGCGGGTCCAACGTGAGTAGGGGCGGGCCTAGAACTCAGGCGCAGGAGGGCGGGGAAAACGAGCAACAGCTCGGGGGTGGGACCAAGGTGGGTAGGGGCGGAGCCTAGAACCCAGGAGCAGGAGGGCGGGGCGGGGGGAACTTACGCCGCAGCCAGGGGCGTGGCCAGAGTGAGCGGGGGCGGGACATAGAGTGCAGGCGGGAGGGGGAAATTTGAGCAGCAGCTCAGGGGCGGGGCCAATGTGGACGGGGGCGGGGCCTAGAGTCCAAGAAGCAAGCTTCAGTTGTGCAGGAGGGCTGTGGAAGACCCCCGGTGCCCACCACCACCCCCCGGTGCCCACCACCACCCCCCGGTGCCCACCACCACCCCCCGGTGGCCCCTTCATTCGCAGGTACACTGCTGTTCCTGTCGTCTGTGGGTTTCTGAGCAAGCAGCACACCATAACACACTGCAAGGAACATTCCTGGGCACACTTAGCCACTGAAGAAACCGGCAGAGGTGACTTGGCCGAGGTCACAGGAAGTTGGAGGCCTCTGGGAGCCGCACTTCCCAGCTGCATTGAGGAAAAAGGGTCCTCCAGGGACCAGCCCTCCCTGCTCTGACCTGGCTCCATCCTCTGCTTGGAACGCTTTCTCCTAATATAATTCTTTCAAATCTTAGGTTCAAAGATGAACTTTCTAAGCACTATGCCAACCCACGTGCTACCTTGAGATGTTCCGGGCTCCTCCTCCCCTTCCCTTCCCTCTTAGTCATGAGAACAGGGTTGCTTTAGTTCTGGGGCTGAAAGTGTCGGGAGAGATTCTCTAAGTCTTGAGGGAACACTGGGTATGGCGGCGCACACCTTTAATCCCAGCACTGAGGAGGCCCAGGCAGGTGGATCTCTGTGAGTTCGAGGCCAGCCTGGTCTACAGAATGAGTTCTAGGACAGCCAGATATACAGAAAAAGACCCTGTGTTAAAAAAGAAACACGAAAATAAATAAAATGAAAGTTGTGGGGGTCATGGATGTGTGTGAATGGGAATGATCCCCACACTCCCATATGTTTGAATACTTGGACCCAGTAGGTGGAACTGTGTGGGAAGGATTAGGACGTGTGGCCCGATAGGGGTGACATTGGGGTGCTTTGAGGTTGCCAGAGCCCACACTGTTCCCAGTATTCTTTTTCTCTCTGCCTCTTGCTTGTGAACACGCCCCCAGCTGCCGCTCCAGCACCAAGTCTGTCTGCCTGGCTGCTGTGTGCTCCTGCCATGAGTTGCCGATGCGCCCCCTCAAACCCAATAAACTCTTCCTTCTGTAAGCTGCCCTGCCCAAGGAGCTCTGTCATGGCAACCGAAAAGTAACTAAGACAATGGATCTCCACAGAAAATGACACAAGTCTTTCTTACTTTGGAATTTCTACCTAAGTCCAGAAGACAAGGAGAGGAAGTTTCCCAAAGCCAAAAGGCACAGGGAGATAGCACAGGGGCTGGGAAGTCCACAGATCCTCATAGACTCACCTTCCCCTTTCCAGTGTGAACCCATGAAAAACTCCCAGGTTCTGACCATAGCAGGCTCGCAAGGTGGGTGGGTGGATGGATGGGTGGATGGATGGATGGGTGGATGGATGGATGGGTGGATGGATGG